TCCTATTAATATTTTCTAAATTATGATCCTAAATAAAACAAAGGATCTGTTGTGTAAAAATAATGACATTAAAAGTATTAGATATATGTGATGGTTAACACTAAACAATCCAAATTGTATTTGCTAATTCATTCCCAATTACAGTTGAAGTCATAAGTTTTCTTCTATCTCAGAAGATGAAGTAGAACAACGATGTAAATCCAGCTGCTGCTTCAGTAATCACACAAACGATGAAAACAGAAAGCAGTAATCTGAATGACTGAAGGAGTTTCAACTCAGTATATACTTAACAAAACGTAAGAACAATGTGAAAATCTCCTTTAAAAAAATTTATAGTTTCAAAATTCATAGGACCAGAATTAACCTGAATACCTTGGGTTCCAACCAACAGATTACTTAGTAAATAAACAGTCAAAGCACATTTAGTGCACCACAGAAGGAAAACAGAAAGGCAAAACCTTCACCAGGAGAAAACTCACAATCTGGTGAAAGGGTGGTCAAAATGTTTGATATGACCTTTTTTAAGTATTAACAGGTACAGTAAACTCAATGACAAATCATATCCACTGTATTCATAGCCATACCATGGATAATTTCTCTCCATCAGCCTGGACAGACCATCTAAAGAAAATACAGTCCTTCGAAGCACCTGGCAGGTAAATGAACACTGCAAATGTCCTGAATAAACTGGATGGAGTCTAGGTACAAGAATCACGAAACAAATTCTGTCCTGGTGTTGTAAACCCCCCCCCCAAAAAAACAAAGCCCCATGAGATGAAAAATGGGGCAAGACGACATCTTTTTTAAAGAAGCGCTTTTATTTTAGCTGGGCCAGCGACACAGTGCAGATGGAATTTGCAAAGCTGTGCAACTGAGTTAGAATTTTTATAGTTCATTTATGATTAGCTCATTGATCATAAAGAACATAGTGATGAGAAACAGAAACAAGGTGGGCCTTTGTTCCCCTTTGCTTGAGGTCAGAGGCATTTCACAGTGGGTCAGTGGGTGGTTAGCCAATTCACAGCCCTTGGTCTGCCAATTCCAGGAACATTTGTCTCTCATAAAGGGAACAATGGCTGGCACAGCATCATTTGTCTCTTACAAGGGAAACAAAAGTTGACACAGCAAACAGGTTACTGGGGTGGGGGAGGAATGACGCAACAAAACAGCATGACAACGTGTTCAGTTAATCTATAACTGTGTGGTTGGTGCTTGGTTACTACGGCGATAAGCATAGAGCATGACGCTAGTAGTAATAAGAAGGGAAGGAGTAAACAGATCACTAAACCTGAGGAGACACAAAGCCTTCAACTATAACACAGAGAGGCAACTAGACAGAAAATGCCAAGCATTTTTATTTCTTCAAAAGCAAAAAGCCATCTTCAGTTCAAGGTAGTGACAGAGCAATCTGCTGCAGAGTACTCCACTGGGACTGCTTGGTTTCTTTAAATTAAAAGCTATGCCTCCGGCACCCTGCCCTCAGAAGGTGGGTGTGTGTTTGAGATGGTGCTAACCTATTGGACTGTTCACTTGAGTTGTTCCACCACTAGCAGAGACCTGCTGAATCCCTCGGTCTTAATTCTTGGTCAACAGCTACAATTCAGCTTTCTGTGGCTATTTGCTGAGCACTTTCCTGATTCTAGACGACAGAAAATAACACCTAACATGCATTAATGCTTAATACAGACCCAGTGGTTCTGATCTAACCACTTAACCTATATTAATGCATTTAATCCTCCAGACAATCTGTGACATATAAGGTTTGTTACCCCCATTCCCAGTTTATCGAGAAGGTGGAGCACTGGTTAGCAAATGGAATGGCTTGCCTCAGGCTTCAAAGGGGCGATACAGGCGGAAATTGACCTTATGCAAACTGGCTACACATCTACTTTTAACCACTTTGCTTAATGCTTCATCTGTACAATGACCAGACCACAAACGGTGTGTCCTGCCAATGCTATGCACCAAAGAAGCCAGGAGCCCAGGCTTCATGGAGATATAAATCAGTATTTTATCTGCCGCCCTGAAATGTTTACTCTCTCCAAGGGGCCTGGACTCTGGCAAACAGCACTCGGCTTACCACACCTTGGACTCTGTAGATTACCTTATTCGGCATATTTTTAAAATAAAAATAATCTCATAAATCAACTGTTCCACCACATAAATTCTCTATTTCATAGAACCCTAAGGAAATGTACATTCTAGGGTTTAAACAATTATGTCATTAAAAGAACACCAAAAAACTGAAGAGATGATTCCTAAAATGTAAGTCCAGATCAGCACTGAAATAAGAATCTGACAAGAAATTTTAAAAGGTTTTTCCAGTGTTCTTCTGAGTAGCACCTCTTATAACAAAGGGTGTAAAAGGCACACAACATGAGATTTAACTGAATGGTAAATACCAGCCAAAGCTCAACGCCACCACCCAGGAAGGGATTTGCAGAATGCTATTCCCATTAATTCTCACTAATAGGGTATAAGCTTAGCAAAAAGAGAGAAAGAGAGAGAAAAAGAGACAAAGGGAAAACAGACTTCCAGTGAGAAACAGATCAATTTGTAAAGGCATCTGCTATACTGTACACCTTACATTACATTCCAGTGTGTAAATTATCTTTACATATCTCCACTGCACCTTCTAGAGTATCACTATAATTCAGATGACACACATTAAACAAATGAACTGTTCGGCTTCCCACCAAATTCAAAACAGGTGGTATCAAGTGTAAATGTATTTTGTCTATTTCTACTGTTATTTCAACAATGCGTTAAGAAATTTACATTCAAAGTTCTACACTGTAAGTGATGTACAATGTGAAATGGGAAGAACTACACAGGAAATAAAAACTATTAAGAGTATTTTGAAATAACCATAGCTTTTAAGGAGAAATCAGAAGCATTAAAAAAAGGGAAAAAAAATTCCGGAAAGCTATTGCTTAACAAACTATTTCACAACAGAAAAAAAAAGGTGAGAATGAAGGACAAATACCCACACTATAAAATATGCATGTGCTGTTAATCTGAATCTTTAAACTTCATGTCTTATTTTACATAAAAGCAAAGTTTCAAAATGCAAAGTTGTAACATTTTTTGTTCCCCAGGCGAATCATCTTGTATCACATTTTAGGAAGTCTTTATGCCTAAAGATGTCATGATTGCTAATCTCAGGTCTGAAACATAAAACAAAGTAATCATCATTCCTATTACAAATTCTTTTAAATTAATTACCTTCAATAAAAGCTAATCATTCTTTTGCCCCAAGAGCCAGCTTTGTACCGCCATATTTCCCATTCCTAAACTTTGTGAGCACTGAGGACTACACTGCATGTGCCACAATGCTCATTTTTTTTCCAACAAGAAGCAATGACACAGGACGTAAGGACACCATCTCCGTATACATAGTGTGCCTTTGAACACACGGTTCTTTCCAGACTTGACTCAATTAATTCCACACACCTGTACTTTTCTTACTTCCCTCCTGACCCCAGAAACTACCGGTGCACGCATGGAAACCCACAAGCCAATAGAAACAAGAGGCGGTCCCCTTCTGCGTCCTCACATTATAAAGAACAAATTCACTTTAAGAAATGTATCCACCACTCTGCACAAAAAAGAAGAAATACACCGAGTTCACTAGTGTTCACCGGCTGATTCCTAGCAGCCAAAGTCTCTCCCTAGCCAAGCTTGTTCCAGGCCCGCCAATGTGCTCTCCAGCAATAGGTCACGAGGCTGCCCTGTTGTTTAAACACCAGCTCCCTGCTGCTTGGCCGCTTCCTAAGAGTGCTTCTGCATGCACTTCACCCACTGATTACCTGTATCAAAACAGAGGGCTGTGGCGGGGTTCTCTACAGCCTCCCAGTACAAGCCCCCTCCCTAGCCTTTTATAGTGGAGGCACGTGATGAACGTGTCTGCACAGCTGTTCTTCATTACCTCTAGAGCTGGGGCGCATGACTCAGCAACCCAACTTTCACGAGTCATCCTACCTTGTTATCCAACCAAAATACTGAACAATGGTCAGTCACTTGACAGAAATGCAAGTTGAACAACCAGGGCCACGCTACGCCCGGGCCAGGGCGACTCATCGGGAGCCTCCGCCCCCACCCCCAGGCTCAAGATGTCCAGAGGCAGAAGTGGCAAGTGCTTTCAAGCCCAGCCCACAGGGCCCAACCCTTGCACCACTACCTCAGGACCAGGAAGGAGCCGGCTGACACCTCTTCCCATTTCTCTGCTCCACCGAGTGAAGCTCTCAAGCACTGTGCCACCAACACGCTTGGGCTTTCCACCCTTCACCTTCACGAGTTGCCTTAAAATGCAAACCTTCTGGGGTATTTAGAACGTGCAACATACAAACAAAGACCCAGCCGTGGCATCTGACGTGGGTACAGTCCCGGCTCTGATACGGAGCTGAGAAAAGATCAGCATCCTACAAAACTGTCTTTGTTCTTCCAAGCATGACGTCGCAGCCTGTTTTTCCCACACACGTTCTTTCACAATTACTACTCCACTCTGCCTCAGATCAGCCCCGGTGCAGTGCCAGGAGGGCTCGTAGCCTAGGAGCAATCCAAATGCGCGATGCCACTCAATGACAGGAAACTGCCGGGTGCGAAGAAAAAAAGGCCACGGGAGCTCGCGCGAGTCCCCACAAACACGCACCGCCGTCCCCGCGGCCCGCGCCCTCCCGCAGCTGCTCGGCGAACACGCGTGGGCGCGGGTCCCACAAAGCAGCCCTCGAGGGCCGGGAAGCGGCCCCCCACGCCCGCCCGCGCTCCAGGAGGTTGCGCGAGCTGGGGCTTCCGCTTCGGCCACCACGCGAGGCCTCGCGCCCGGGCCGCGCTCCGCCGCCGGCCGCGCTGAGGGACGCGGCGTAAACAAGGCGCGGGCCGCGGGGTCCGCACTCGGGCGCCCCCTCCGGCGGGCGCGCCGCCCCGACCCCGAGCCGGAGCCCGCAGTCGACTCCACCGTCCCCGGTCCTGCCCGCCGCTCCTCACGCCTGTCCACTCACCAGAGCCCCGGCGCGGTGGCGCGGCCCGACTGACGGCGGCGGCTGGAAGAGAGCGAGCGGGAGGGCGGGCGGGAGGGCGGCGGTCAGGTGACTCACTCCCTCCGCGCGGCCGGCGCCGCCCCTTCCCCGCGAGGCGACACGCCCACCCCGTGACCACGCCCCCCCTGTGTCACGCCCCCTTGGCGCCGGCCCCGCCCCGCGCTCTGCAAGGTCCTGGCCTCTGCAGTCCTCTTCCCCAGCCAGACTCGGGGCGACTGAGTAGGCTCACAGCCCTAGGGCCACCTTCTTTGTCTCTGCTGAGAGCAAAAAGGAAAGGCTGACGGTCTCCTTCTTCCAGGTGCTCCCAGGACATTGGAAGGGGCCTGCACTGAGTCCCTGCAGACAACTGGAGGGAAAAGAGGCACCTGTCCCTTCCCCCCACCTCAGAGTCCCCAGGAGGATCCGTTTCTGGAAGAACCCGGGGCGCAGTCCTGGGCTGCTTTACATGGGGTGGCTGGGGCCCCAAGTTCGGAAGGCATTTAGCTTGCTGAGGGACTTGTCAGGTGCATCCGTTGAGAGCTTGGAGGGTGAGGGAGACATTTTCCTTTCCCTTCCCTAACTGCTAAGCTTCCTTCGAGTTGGTGTTGTTTCAGATAAGGTTTTCCAGAGAAATCCGAAAGGTGCCTGACCTAGAGTGAACCTTTCTCCTTATCATCTCATTAATATGCAAACCCGTCTCCAACAAAAACCTCTTGCTTTCTTGTTTGGAAGACACTGCGGAGGGAATTATCCCTAGTTTGCTTTCTACTTACAGAAGTAATCTTTTTCTGTCTTTTATCTCTTGGTTGTGCTCCTTGGCTCTGAACTTACCTCTGTGTTGGGTTACACATGGAGGATTTTGTAGAAAGCATCTGGCAGCCCTACTTTTGTCTGACAAGCAAAAACAAGGGCATCTGCTAACAGGTGTTCCCTTCATGCTGTGACTGCCAGGAAACTTGGAACCAGGTTCAGCACCAGGCAGTGTCAGCTGGCTCATCTCAAACCCGGCTTATGCTTTCATCCCCTAGTGCTTATTCTAGTATTTATCTGATTGTCAGTTTTTAAATTATGTTACTGAGCCATTTAACACCTCTGGAGTTCAAAGCACTGTCTTTCTGTGCACGGGGGCAAAGCTTAGACGTCTAGAGAAAAAACTGACTATGCTCCAGCCAACCTGATGAGCTTTCTGGGGAAGGTGGCCTGCCTCTGAGGTCTGTGGCAAAGGAAACATTTGTGTGAAGGCATCTTTTGGTGGCTTGTGAGGTCAAGGGAGAGACAGATGGAGAAAATGCGTTTACTCCTTGAACACAGGAAGACCCAGTCTTGGAGCTCCCACATAAAAAGGCTACTAAGATAATTAATTCAGATACTATGGCTTATGTGACTACATTTTTGTAATGCATAAATTGTGAGACTTGGGGAAATTTGAATTACATCCAGAATACATGAGATGATGTATGTGAAGCAGGATTCAAGTGAAAAGAACAAGTGATAAAATCACATGGAGTCAAGGAAGCCTTCTTGTTAAGCTCCATGCTTATCGCCCTAGTAACCATGTACCTGGAGCACTGACCACATTGTTACAAATTTGTTATAAATTAACTGAGGTGTCCCCATACTGTTCTGTATGCGTCATTACCTTAGTAAACTGTTTGCTGTGTCAACCATTGTTCCCTTTGTGAGAGACAAATGATGCTGTGTCAACTTTTGTTCGCTTCGTGAGAAACAAATGTTCCTGGAATTAGACTAAGGGCTGTAACTTAAGAAAAGCAAATATAAGGGCTAACCACCAACTGCGAAAGGTTCCTGACCTCATGTAAAGGGAAACAAAGGCCTTCCTAATTCCTGCTCTGTCACGTCACTCGGTTAACGTGTTATAAAAATCTGTCAAAATTCTGACTCAGTTGCACAGCTTTGCAAATTCCATCTGCACTATTTCACTGGTGCCAGCTAAAATAAAAGTGCTTCCTTTTTTTTAAAGAAAAAACATCGTCTTGCCCCATTTTTCATCTCGGGGGGCTTTTCGGGTACAACACTTCCTAGACAAAGTAATATTTGTGCCTTCATTATGAAGAGTGGAGCCCAGCAGTCCAAGGAAGATCCAGAGTAGAAGGTAAATGACGTTTGAAGCTGCCTGAGTTCATGGTGCAAGTGCAGATATTTGTTGAGAAGTGAAGAAAGGACACTTGGGAATAGATTGTGAAAGGATCAGTGTTCTGACAGACACCTCAGAGTTTTTAAAACTGACCTCTCCTATCCTGAGCCACTGGAACAATATCCTTCCTTCTTCCTGCAGTTATGGAAGTTTTTCCTAAGGAAAGAACTGATCATCACTTTGGGAGGGACTCATCTTTCCTAGAGATATTTTCTAGCCAGAAACTGATGACATGCACTTTGATATGGTAAATTACTTGAAAAGTTCCTACAAAGGTCTACAAAGGGTTGAGACCCTCAAAGAAAGCATAGAGGGGTGACTCTCAAACTTCAGTGATATGGGGGAGCCTCATTAAAATGTTCATACCTTCTAATTTCCCTAAGAGTCTAATTTAATAGTTCAAGTGAAACCCAAGGAACTTACTTTTAAGTTCTGGTGCAAAGGATCTTCAGATAACCCATAAGAAGCACTGAGTTAAAATTTGTGACATATGAAACACAGAGAATGAAAACTGATTTGAAAATGAAATAAAACCAAGCCGATGAGAAAGATATCGTGATCATACCTAAAATTTGAACATTATCTTTTGGGCTGGGAGACTAAGTAGAAATCTCTCAGTTATGTGATTGTTTTTAAATACTAATTCTAATGTGAAGAAATGGGAGGAAAAGATTGCAGGTTGGATGAAGAAATGAATGATGACACAGTAAATTATGTGGCATGACTTGTTTGCAGTATCCCTTGCTCTGAAGAAAAAACACTTAAGGTGTCATTCTTTGAAAGCACAGATGTCAGTGGACACAGTTCATGAGCAATCCCTGTGTTGTGAGCTCTGGTTTGGTACTTCCCAAGTTAGCATAACATTGTCTGGCCATGGAAGTCTTCAGTAGTCCTATGTACTCAGAATCAGAAAGAGGACTTACTTAATTGGTCAGCTTTTAAGAATACAATATAAATATACAGTATTTTTTACATTAACTCCTAATTTATTAAAATACTTTACCAAAACAGATTTTTAAAAATTATCTTTGGTTATAATAAGAAATATTTCTATTTTTAAAAAAACTTTCACATTCTGGGATAAATGTATGATCTTTTTATTGGTATTGGTACTAATTTGCTATTTGATAAATAAAAGGTTCCATGCTGCTGTTTCACAGTGATTTGCAATTAGTGCTTCTTTGTCACTTAGTTTTATTTTTAGTGCATTTTTCTTTAGGATGAGTGCTGTGGTCGATTCATTGTGCCAACTGGAGAAGTTTAGGAGCTTAACTAAGTAGCTAAGCAGTTCTACATCCTAGGGTGCAGAGGACATGCCCTGGGATGACTATTTACGCTCTAGGCAATGGCTGACTCCTTGCATCAACCTGAGTGTAGAAGTTTAATTAGTGACTCAGCACGGGCCAGTGTTCTTTGTAAACATCCTGACCCTGTGTAAGAGGAGGACAAGGAGATGCTGCGAGCGCTACACCCATCCTAGGGAGGATAACCTTCTTACAACATACAGGAGGAAAAGAAGGTTGCTCTCCCTTCTCTGCTCTTGTTGCTTTTGCTGTCTTCTGAAACCTTAAACTGTTACCCCCTCGCCATGCCACCCTGCCTTGGACCCAGCTTATATGGACTGAAACCTCCACAAACTATGAGCTAAGTAAACCTTTCCTTCCTTAACTTTGAGTATTGGGTATTTTGTCCCAGCAATGAGAGAAAATTAAGACAAAAAATTATTCATTATGCTTTTCATTGACTATGAACACGGATGAAATTTTTAACAATACTTGCCAGCGTACTAACTATAGTGGTCTCAACGTTATTTATGTTCATTGTCACATTTCTTTCAGAAATGTTACTTTCTTTTCAAAATTTTTCAGTCATACACATTCTTTTCCAGGCCATAATACAGATCTTATTAGCAAAATAAAATCTTATCATTAAATTAATTCTGAAAACAATTAAATAACTCCAAACCACAAGTAAGGAAAGATTTTCAATAAAAGCTAGAAATCTCCATCATTTTCTTCTCCAATGACAACCAGATTGCTTTGCCTAGCTCTCAGAAATGAGAGAGCCAAAGCAAATAGATGAGTGACATGAATGGACATAAGGAACAATGTGGCATAATATTTGGACAGTGAGACATAACACATATCCTGGAAAAATCCTTCAGGTGAAATCACTCTATCACTTCACTCTGCCCACCTCCCCTTCCTAACCTCAGGAAAAATATAAGTATCCACATTATTCCCTACCACCCTTAGAGTTGTACTTTGCTCTCTGCAGATGCAACATATTATCTCTAGCCAGCCCCTGGGCATTATACCCTTAGTTACTTTCTGCATCACTGAAACGTAATACCCAACACTCACAGCTGTAAGGACGAGAGGTTTATTTTGGCTCACATTTCATAGAGGTTTCCGTCCATAGTTGACTGGTTCCAAGGCAGAGAAGCATACCAGAAATTATATGGACTTATTCTGATATTTTAGGCTCTTTTTGTATCATGCAATAACTAATAAAAATTTTCATCTAATAGGTATAACATGAATTGAAAAAGATAGCTCTGCTTTAAGTGAATAAAATAAAGAAACAATATATGTTAAACACATATCTAGGAAATGACTCTATTTGGAAGGATGAGATGTTTAACCCCATTTAGTTAAAACAAATCTTTTTAATTTATAACTTGAAAGTTTTACCTAAGTAAAAGGAGATTGGGAAATTAATATTAAACTTGAATTCCAAAGGCATCAATTTAATTGATTAGAACACTAGAAAATGGCCCATTGGCTAAATAAGAATAAATACTGTTGGAAATGTTTTTATATCCCTCAGGATAAACAAGAAAAGGAAAGAAGGGGCAAATCTCCAATTAACTACATGTGCCCCTTGAGTTTCCAAAAACAAACTCTAATATAATTTGATTCTTTATGTTTA